TATATATAAATATTAAAATTGAAATATTGAAATATGTTCGTCGTCGAGGAAATATAAGTGTCTACGTGATTGATTTCGAGGAAGTAAGTGTCCAGGTGTTCGCCGTCGAGGAAGTGGGTGTCTACGTGTTTGCCTTCGAGGAAGTGAGTGTCTAGGTGTTCGTCGTCGAGGAAATGGGTATCTAGGTACTTGTTTGTTTGTAAGGTACCCGCAGCAGCAGTACCCACAGCAGCAACAGCATCAGCAGAAGCAGCAGCAGCAGCATCAGCAGCAGCAGCCACCACCGCCGAAGCAGCAGCATCAGCGGCAGCAGCCAACGCAGAAGCGGCAACAGGGAGGATCCATCCTGATCCAGCTTCTCCGCCAGCAGCTCCAGCGCCGCCGCCAGCTGCAGACTCGGACACCGAGGATCAGACCCGCGGAGCTACCAGGACCGTGCCTGCGACAGCTCCGGCAGCAGCATGGAGCTCCACGGCGCGGCCTCCACCTGAGCCGCCGACGCAACCGACGTCCTCGCCCGCGTCGCCAACTCTCTCACCGACGCGGCCGACAGAACCACCGACGCCAAGGGCACCGACGCGGCCGACAGAACCACCGACGCCAAGAGCACCGACACCGCCACAGACGACACTCCAACACATCGTCTGGAAGCTCTACGCACTGGATATACCACCACCGGCCAGGACCAGACCCTCGCGGTATTGGCTTCATCCCTGGGGCATACGAGTCCGGAGGTACACGTCTCCTCGATACCACCTAACGCCACCAGAAGCCACGAACGGATTGCAGTTATCAGGCTCCGGTTGGGAGACACCGCGGGAGTAGCCATCAACCTCTCCAGGCGACGAGAACGCCAATTACTGGGAACCAGAGAAGTGGACGCAGACACAACCTTCGATCGCCTACTGTGAGCGCATATCACCTAAGCGCAGCGGAGTAAGGTGGACACGGACGCTACCTCCGCTTGCGTACAAAGAGCGCAGCCTCCCCTAGGAGAAGAAATCAATCGGCCCTTTTCAGGACCATCGAAATACTACATCACACCGAATACATCCTTGTATATACATAGTTGTACATAGAACACAAAATAAAACTTGTACATATTACATCACACCAAGTCTCTCAAGTAAACCTCTCTCTTGCGATCCCTGCGCCGCACCGGTAGAGGCCGACAGCGATGGCCGATCGGTTGCGAGAACATTACATCCGCCAGTAGCGAGTGAATGTGACAACCGACATACTCACGAACTACGCTACAAGTACTATTATTTAAATTCTACTAAATTAAAAAGTAAAACCCATGTGGTACTATCTTTATCTTCATACAATGAAACCTAGTATATGCCTTTGTATTCTTATTAAAAAATCTTCCTATTCGAAACCAAGTGACTTAATTCTTCTTTAAAAAAATTATATCACAATTAATTTAAAAATAAAATGAAAAAAATTTATTTAAATAAAAAATTTTTTTATGTAAAAACACTTCGCGCTGCTAGAGCGAATAAGAGAAACAATGAAAACTATCTAAAAGCTATAATAATTAATACAAATATATGTAAAGGTAATGATAATTAATAAATATACAGCTTACTTTTCTTTATTTATGTATTTCACTCACATATACTGTACGCGAATATACATACAGACTGCATACTTTTTAACTCTCGTAGCTTCTAATCTCTTTTATACAAAATGTTACATCCATATATAATTTTATTATGACGTTAGTATATATTGGGATTGAGATACAATTCACTCGCACAGACATATGCACGAATATATACACACTAAATACTTTAATTTTCGTGAAAATGTTTCTTGTCTTTATTATTGTATTTTATTACATCGAGATCGAGAACTAGCAGCGCGAAGTGTTTTTACATAAAAAATTTTTCTATTTAAATAAATTTTTTTCATTTTGTTTTTAAATTAATTGTGATATAATTTTTTTAAATAAGAATTAAGTCACTTGGTTTCGAATAGGAAGATCTTTTAATAAGAATACAAAGGCATATACTTAGGTTTCATTGTATGAAGATAAAGATAGTACCACATGGGTTTTACTTTTTAATTTAGTAGAATTTAAATAATAGTACTATATGGGTTCTTAAAGATTAAAGGTACCACTTGTGTTTTACTTTTTAATTTGGTAGAATTTAACTTGGCGCCGACTGTTGATATCAAATCTTGTATACAAATGATAAATGTCATTAAAATTAAGTAAGTAATAAGGTAGAGTAACTTGGCGCCGACTATTGATATCAAAACTTTTATACAAATGATACTTGTCATTAAATTTAAGTAAATAAGGATATCACGTAGGTTTTTAAAAAAGATGGTTCTACTAAACACAGCAAATGTGATTATTCAGTTTTACAGTCGATAATAGTACTACATGGTAGAATTTAACTTGGCGCCGACTATTGATATCAAATCTTTTATACAAATGATACATGTCGTTAGATTTAAGTAAATAAGGATAGTATCACGTAGGTTTTTAAAGATGGTTCTACTAAACAGCAAATGTGATTAGTCAGTCGATTAAGTAATTGGCGTTGGTGAAACTGGCCCAAATGGTTTTTCGACCAGCAGCACCCACTCTTAGCGCTTCTTTCACCTTTTTTTTTTTTAAAAAAAAAGGTAAGTTTATAAAGATAGTACCAAATAAATTTTACTTTTTAATTTAGTTGAATTTAAATAATAGTATGGTTTTTTACATGGGTTTTTAAAGATAGAATTTAACTTGGTATTAATATCTCGTTAACTATTACCGCAATCGCAAAATAGTACAGGACTTTTCAACTCAGTATAGTCTGTTCTACCCACCCATGAAATATTATGCGGTTATTCTCAGCCACCCTGTATATAAAAAAATGAAGAAAGAGAGCGAAATACGGCGAAAGAGAGGAGTGGTGGGTGGTGGGGAGAAGGGGGGAGGTCCGGTGGGCCGAAAATGGTGGAGGTATGAGTGAAAGGTAAAAGAGGACGTTAAAAAGTTGTAATAACGAAAGAGAGTGAAATACGGTGAAAGAGAAGGGTGGTGGAGTTGGGGGAAGGGGGTGGG